CTTTTCCCTTCTCTCTGAGAATGTTCCTCTCTGAAATTCATAGTAAACCAAGATCATTTTGTCACCCAGACAGCTCTCAGTTTTGAACTGAACTGCAATTACTTATAACAGGAGTATTAAGTGATTTCATGATATTTTATTGTCTGAATTGTATAATTAAACCTGGCTTCTTTTATTAACGTGCTATTTTTCATGTGGAGACACTTTTCTTTTTAAAATGTTTCAGTAGTGATGGCTGATCACCAATCCATACTTTGAAAAATATCAATGTCTAAATAGCTCTTTTGAAGGCAGAGCCAACAATGCAGAAAGCTGGTTTCTGTTGCTAATGTGTGCAGTGCTCATCTTTTGACGTGCCCTAATAATTGCCATTCCTATTAACTGTAGCATCACCCACTGAGAGAAAAACAGACCCTGTCGCGAGCCTGAACAGAGACAAGGAAAAGCAGGGGAGCTGGCAGATCATGGCCTTGGCATTTCTGATACTGCCTTTTGTGTTCAAGTTCAGTGTAATGCAAAAAAAAATGCCTCATTTAAAGAAGTTGAGAAGTCTGGTTACAATGAAACAGGCAGTAGGTTTCTTTCAGCTTTCACTGGTATTTGGCAAAGACTAAAATAATTCCTCATCCAGGTGAATACAGTCATGAAAGCCTTAATTTCAACAACCAAACACAATCACTATTTTTGAAGGTCTTTTTTATTTTAAGACCCAGCAGTGACTATTTCTTTACTGGTTTAAGCTCAGGCAGTGCTCGGAGAGCTGGTCCTGTTCCATCCCCTGACTCCCATCCCAGCCCCGTGAACCCTCCAGTTCTGCTGTGCTGGCACCAGCACTCATGCAGCCGTGGAGTTACCAGACTCAGGGAGCTGATCCAGATCAAAATTAGCAGAGGAGAGAAGCTTTCAGCTGTACTAATTCCCTCATTCAGCAGAAGGTGTAGCTGCATTAGCTGCGGGCTGCTGTTGGAGGGAGGGTGGGAACACACTGCCAGAAGGCAGAGTCAGACCTCCCCTCTTGGCAGCCACTTCCAAGTAGATTGGATTAAGCGTGTTGTGAAAGTGTCATCTGAGTCCCATCTTCCAAAGAGGCTGGCATGCTGATGAGTTTCAGTATCACTGAAACTGGGACTGCTCGGGGCTGAGATCGCGGGCAGGACGAGCACTGATGTGCCACCTCTGCCAGGGCAGGACGAGCACTGATGTGCCACCTGTGCCAGGGCAGGACCAGCACTGATGTGCCACCTCTGCCAGGGCAGGACGAGCACTGATGTGCCACCTCTGCCAGGGCAGGACGAGCACTGATGTACCACCTCTACCAGGGCAGGGTGAGCACTGATGTGCCACCTCTACCACAGCAGGACAAGCACTGATGTACCACCTCTGCCGGGGCAGGATGAGCACTGATGTGCCACCTCTGCCAGGGCAGGACCAGCACTGATGTGCCACCTGTGCCAGGGCAGGGTGAGCACTGATGTGCCACCTCTGCCAGGGCAGGACGAGCACTGATGTGCCACTTGTGCCAGGGCAGGACGAGCACTGATGTGCCACCTGTGCCAGGGCAGGACGAGCACTGATGTGCCACCTCTGCCAGGCACCGGTTCCTTGCTCCAGAGCCCATGGTCCCTTAGGAGGCAGAGCCAGCTCCCCACGCCCTCCTGGCAGCTGGGACACTCTGCAGGGCAGCATGAACAACTGGGGACAAGCACTGAGGAGGCTGAGGTCACACCTCATCCCTCCAGCTCTTGGCTGCCTCTGTCCCCTCATGGTGGCCAAGGCAGAGAAGAGATGGTCCCACACTGAGTTTAACAGCAATGGCCCAGAAGAGATGGTCCCACATGGAGTTCAAGAGCCATGGCCAAGAAGAGATGGTCCCACATGGAGTTCAAGAGCCATGGCCAAGAAGAGATGGTCCCTCAGGGAATTAAGGAGGAGTCCCTCAGCTCCTTCAGAGCACAGCCACTGCCTCCACTGGTGTCCCAGCTTCCCAGAGAACACCTACGAGATTCCATGGGACAACAACGCTGAGTACACCATGGCAGCAGTTTTGCTTGTTGTGAAAGGGTTTAATACTTTTGGATTGTGTGTGAGGGAAAGAGGAGCATCTTGTACTCAGAGAAGGGTGCATCTTGTACTCAGACAGGGACACATGCCAGGCCTTGGTGCAGGGATGGGAGCCCAGGACTTGCCCTCCCTGGGAGCACTCTGAGCACAAAGTCTCTCTTGCTCTCTAATTAAAGGATGGCATGCAAAGTAAGGCTGTGGCCAGAAGACTGAGAGTCAGGAGAGCAGGTTGCTCCTGAAGTGATTAAGCACTCTTAAAGAAACCTCCAGAGGTGAACTTGAAGCTGCTTGGAGGATTGAAAATAAGATCTCTGCTACCCCTCAGGAGTCCTTCTCAGCAGACGTGCTGTGAGACCACTACCAAGCCTAACACCATGTCTCATAGGAGCTGTGGTTTAGTGGAGTGCAGATTTTGGCACAGTTCTCTCCTCTGGCTCACCTTGCCTTCTGCAGGAGGTAGGATCTGACTGCAGTACAGGAACAACCAGACTTCCTCTCTTGCCTCCACATCACTGTGCAAAGTGAAATTTTCCATTGCTGTTGTTGCAATCATCATGGATGAAGAGCAAAGGAAGGCAGCAAGGATTTTGCCTAATTCTCTCCGTTGGGTGGGCAGCTCTGCATGGCAATGACCTTCCCAGCCAGCCTCCCTCTCCTCCCTATGGCACTGGAGCCTTACCATGCCCACACTGACTCTCAGCTTCTGTTCCCTCCCTGCTCTTTGAGCAGCCACCTGGAAAACACAGGAGGTTGCAGGCAGGAGCCTGTACCACCAGGAAAGAATAGGAAGAAATGCCTCTTGATTTTGCCCAAAGATGCTGCCTTCTTGAGAAGGAGAAGCAGAAATGAGCCCACTGCATGTGAACAAGAGTGCTAACCCAGAGTGTTCCTCCAAGTTCCTGCCCAGCTTCCTCCATACAGAAAGCAGAAGGAAGGGGAGGATGTTGTTCACCATGCCCCTTCTGACCTGGAGTCACCACGCAGGATGAGGAAGATATCTTGGTGCCCACGGTGTCATTTTGGTCTGCATGTGTGTAATGATTTACCCAGGCAATTCTGGAGAAGATTTTCCATCAGAAACGTGGCTGAGGGCCCTGCCCCATGGCCTGAATCACACAGTGACAGGGTGAGGATGTTGATGACGTTGGTGGCAGTGGGGCACCAAGGATCTGCATCAAGGGCTGAGCTTTAGGGATCCACACCAAGTCCCTCCTCCTCCTCCCTGTCTCAGTGCTCAGGGGACATCTCCAGGTGCAGGGGCTTTCTCCATGAAAGTCAGGCTCAGGAGAGACTGACTGTCAGACTCTGAAGCACTTGCTGCTTTTGACTGTGTGTTTTGGACAGAATCCCTTCCATCTGCATTGGTGCAGCTATTGTTTGTATACATGATTTTAAGAAGGGATTTCCCCTCCTTCCTTCCTTCTCCTTTTAATATCATGTAGCAGCTAGAAGCAGGGGAAAGAGACTGGCACCATATGACCAGCCAGCTGTCTGTGGACTGTCAGAGCATATTGAGGGGAACACAATGTGACTACCTTGGGTGCTTGATCATTCAGTCTCTGCTGGCTAAGCTATACACTACCTTCCTTCCACCCAATTATCCTGAATGTCACTGGGTCAGTGCATGGTTTACAGGACACTGTTTTGCATTTAAAAAAAAAAGTCATCTGGTCCATATCCAGTGCATGGTAAAATCCCCTTCCTAGGAAAGCAGCATGACTCATGCTGGCAGAGCATCTGCTGCCAAGTCATCCTTTCTGTTGCACGGTGATGTCTTCCCTTTTCTAAATTGCCTTTAAAGGCAGGAGAGTGGGTCACCTCTGCTCCAGCTTCAAGGTAGCAAACACAAGTGTTTAGGAACAAGGATACCAAAGGATGTGAAGCAAAGCTAAGTATAGATGCATCACACTGACTAATATTGGAGAGATGGTGAGTTGTCTTTGACCTCAGTCCTCTCAGTTTTCTCTGCAGAGGAAACACAAATGCATTTTAAAGACTTCTTCCATTATTTGTGAGTTTCATGGATGTATGAGGACATGTAAGTACCCTTCAGTTTCCTAGAAAATCAAGGTGCTTTTACAGAGGGAAAGGAAAGCACCCTGAGGTGCACAGACAACAAAAGGTGTGATCTGTCACTGAGGCAGTGGAGCAGAGAAAGGCAGTTTTGGGGCACTAGGGAAAATATCATCTCTGCCACTTGAGGAATTTATCAGGTAAAGGCTTTTCTGAGGATGCCTCCTAAACTGTGCTCTCTGACACAGTCAGCCACCAGAAGCATTCAGCACAAGTTCTTCAGGTGGAAGTTTGATGTGGGATGATTCCTGAAGAAATTGACCCAAAGAGAGGAGATGTTCCTTAAGGAAAGGGAGAAGAATTTTTCATTATTAATGAGATGAAATTACTAATTTCTAGGAAGCCCCAGTTTCTCTGAATTGGCAGATTTGAGTTCCCTCCATATAGAGATGACAGTATTATACCCTGCACACTTTGCCAGCAGATGCACTGCCTTATTTACTCAGGAGCGTCATGTTTTACTTGCCAGGTGGTAAAAAACATGGCCTGCTTTACTTCTCTTTAACATTCTAATTTTTAGGCTACTGAGCTATGCTCCTATGCCTTCACCTATTCAAGGAGGATAGATTCTCATAAAAATCATAAAAAATTATTATTTTTATTGATTATGACCAAAATATATTATTTTTGTCTGACCCTTCTTCCTTCCCTCTTGCATTATTTATACTGCAATCCTTCTCCTTCTAGTGGCAATCAACATCATTGCCTCTCTTCACAAACTACTGTTTCTCAAGTCTACAGACTTTTGCAAGCAAGTTTCCATTTATTCTTTTGAGGTTGTAATTCATCCGAATGGATGTGGAATTATTGCATTTTTCTTCCTGCAGATATTTCCCTGCAGTTATGGAAGTCTGTGGAAAACCACACCACAATAATTCAGCATTGTGGACTGAGACTGGGACGTGAGCTGGTGTCCTGTACCTGCTGCAAAGCCTCACTGTGGCAGAAAGAGCTGCTAATGACCCTGCCTGGAGTAGAAAGTTTGAGTAATCAAGGAATGGGAAATGGTGAGAAGCATATGAACATAGTTGTTCATAATTTCCATCTCAGGTCCTGCCATAGGAAGGAGGAGAACTAAGACCTGCAGAAACCGAATTCTGGTAGCAAGAATATTATGGCAAATGCACCTAATTTACTGATGATGCACTTAAAGAACTTGTTGTCTGCATAAGGCAAGTCAAGGCAGTTCTAACTTACTGATGTACTTAACATAACATAGCTGATTTGAATTTTTGTGAATTAAGATATTTTGAATTAAATTTTTTATGATCTTGGGCTTTTTCCCCCCTTCTTCTTCTGCTTATGCTCCTTTTTCCTCTGTCTTTCCTTTTCCTTCTCAGAACAACTCTTTGGCAGCTTGGAGTGGTTTTCCTGTCTGCATTTTTGCATTTGGCCCCTGTGTTTTGGAGAAGTGCCTACCTGCAGCAGCCTAGACAGACTTCCAGGGCTGGAAGCATGTTTTCTAAAACATGGATGTAAGTTTACTTCACTTTTGACCCTTTTCCACTATGGAACTGAAGAAATCTCTGAAGAAATCTCAGGGCTAGGTTCAGTCCTCTGCTCTCCATATTGCTCCCAGCACCCTACCCTAAATATTTCTGCTTTTCCCAGGCAGATGTTTCACGGCTCGGAAAATCTAGAAGCGGCTCTCATCCTCGCTCCCCATCTCCTCTTCTCTCTCACACCTTGGAAGAGGGCAGGAGATGCTCGTATCTCTCAACCCTTTGTGCTGAGTTCTGTTTCCTTTCCCTCCTGGCCCCACAGAAAGAGGAGGTACTCCAATAAACATCTCTCACTGTCCTCTCCTCCTGGTTTTGGGGACAGAAAGGAGCAGGATCCACTCCTTTTTGTTATTGCCAGAGTTACTGAATCCCTTCCAGACCTGCTTGTACTTCTGGGATCAGTTTTGGATGATACACAAGGTTGCCCATTTCCTTTTAGTTTCTCAGAACAGCACAGAAGTTTGAGAGAAGCAGTGGCTGTGAGAAAATTACTTTCCTATGAACAATGGGAAAGAAATAGCTGAGATCATGATGGGTGGATCCTCCTTTACCCTACTGTCTAGATCAGCTTCCTAAAATAACTTTCCCAGGGAATGATAATTTGTTTGAATGAAATAGAGATTTCAAGGGAGATCCTGATTATAAAGGAGAAGACCATGTGTCAGGTAACGTGGGCTTCCTCTAATATCCCCTTTTATTTCCATCTTCTACAGTCCTCTCTCCCATCCAGTTCTTTGTTTTCCACACATCCTCTGCCAGTCTCTTGTCCCCGGGGTCTGTGGTTTCATTTCAGTCCTTGCATGGATTTGGATGATTTTACATCAGGCTTCATGCCTCGTTCGGGGGGAGAAAGCAAGACAGTAAATCTCTCCTGTATTTAACAGGCTAATGGTAATTCTGTGTAACCCACATCTCTGGCTTTCTGTTTCTCCAGGGAGGAGCAGGGAAGGAAGAGGCAGAACTACTGAACAAAACCCCACAGCAGCCTTTTTGGCATCGTTGGTGAAGGAAAGGGGAGAGAATAGGAGAGAGATCCTAATCTTAAATATGTGTTATGTTCTCCCATCCAACAGTGGCGGGTGTGGACCGAAATGCTCGGTAGCCAGGGAGATGGTAGATTAGGGAGATTGTTTACTTCGACATGGGATGGAGGGAAAAGAGCTGGAAAGACTCAAGGAGGGGCTGCAGAGGGGTGTGGGGAAAGTAATGGAAAGAAAAGTTCAAGTAAATTCCAAAGAAGTTGAAAATGGAAGCAGGAACAAGGATTTATTTTTGTCTGGGAACAGAAGATGCAGGAAAAAAAAAGATGGGAAGATGAAAGCCATGAGAGTTAATTCAGCTCCTATTAAAGCTGACAGCATTACTCTTTACAGATAGTAGGCTTGGCTCACAGAAGATTTTGAAATAGGACAGAAGGAGGAAAGGAGGACTTGTAGATAAAAGACAGACAAAAAGAGAGAGCAAAGAGTAAGAATATGCAAAAATGGAAATAGAAAATAGTTGAAAATGAACACAGGGAAACATACTCTGTATATTGGAAGTATGCTGGAAAAGGGGAAGGAGATTGAAACCAGAGGGGGGGAAAAAAAAGCATGAGATCATTTTGTGATTTCAGATTTACATCCTAGGGAATATGAGAGTCCTGCCTGTAGAGCTCAGACCTTGAGAAAAACCTGTGACAGATGTGAAGATGTGCAGGGCAGAATATAACTGCAAACTATAAAATGTATTATTTTATCAGATACTTTCCTCTTAAGCTGTAAACCCCAGGAGTGGAGTGGGCTCAGAGAGCAGCTGGGGGCTGGGTAGGGAAGATGGGAAGCAGCAAGTAAAAGAGCTAATGACCAGATGGTTTGGTACAGATCTGTGTCTTGGTGGTGGTTGGCTCTGACATCTAAGGAAATGAAAGCTTCAGCTGCAGCTCCTCTTGAAGCTGGGGCACTATGAGGACTGTCTCCATGTTTTCTCTGGCATGGGGGCTCCCTGCCAGCAAAACATGACCTCATGCTTCAGTCTTCTCCCTGGGGAGAGCAGGAATACCCAGCTGTTCCCACAAAACCTGCAGAAGCCAGGTGTCTCTGGCCCCAAGCCTCTGCATCCCTGGGTTCCACAGATTTACCCTCACCCTGCAGAAGGGTAAAACAGAGTCAAGTGTCTGCCCCAGTCCCTCCAGCCACAGGCTCTGGTTTCCAGAAGAGGGAAATGTCCCTGTGGGGAATGTGACACACTCCACCAGGTCCATGTGCCACCTCCAAGGTCTCTTAGCCCAGCAAGTGCAGCTGGAAACACCAACTCCTTTGTCAAAGCTGGGTGAGCTGGGCTGGTGGATCCAAAGTTTGCTAAGGGAGATACAGGCATTTGTAAACACAGAGTAAAATAATGTGGGGGGTTTTTGTTTTGTTTTCTTTTTCTTTTTCCTGAAAACCAGGCTTAAACAAGACTCTTGATTAGGCATCCTTTCCAGAAAGAAAAAACAGCCACGGGCTGCCTGTCAAGGCAGAGCAAGCTGCGTGGGCTGCTGGTCCCATGCCTGAGAGAAAGCAGGTCCCAAACCTCAGAAAGGTTCATTGTACACAAGGGCTGACTGCCTGGATGCCTCTGGGGCAGGCACTGAGAGACCTGCAAGGTTGGTGAGATCCCTGCTGTGTGTTTGGATGAGGGAAAACTTCCTCCCATTGGGTTTGCTCTGGTGCTTAAGAGTTGGACTCTTGTGGGTCCCTTCTGTGAGAAACAACTGCTCACTTAAAAAATTTAAAGAGGTTTATTAAACCTTGACAAAAATACAACAAAAGGACTACATAAGGAAAAATTCACAGCGCTGGGAGCTGCCCTCGTAGACACCACGTGTGGGCAGTTCATCTTCAAGATGGATGCTCAGTCTGTTATCCCCCTGGGGTTGCCCCAGCCAGCCCTGGCCCCTCCCAAAGTCTGTCAGTCAGCTCTTCTTTGCCATCTATCAGTGGAAACTGCTTTCTTGTAACTGGATTGGAGGCCTGGTGTTGCCATGCCTCCCCACTAGGCACCAAGCTTTTCCATTCCCCACTGCCCCATGCAAGGGGCACATGTGCACACCTTCTTCTACCTGTCCTAGACAGCCCAGGCTGTCTGATGGTCACAATGGAGGGGAGAAAAGGAACTATGGGGAGAACAGAGGACATCTAAACTACAATAACATAACTGTACATCACTGAAGCTTTGCTTAATATTCACACAATAGTCACCCTTAATTGTGAGAGCAAATCATCTCATTATCCATCTCCAACTCAGAATATTCTGTGGCTCTGTGATTCTTCACTCCCTCAGTACCAGATCACTGCCCCAGAGTGTGAAGGCTCTGGTTCCAAACACTGCAGTCAGACACAGGGAAAACTCCTGCTGGGCTGGGCCAGACCTGCTCACAGATCCACAGCTGGGCTGTCAGTGCCAGAAATGTCACCTCACCCCACGGACCAGCAGTGCAACTGGTGTCCCTGGGGAGGAAACCTGCCCTAACTGAGGGGGACATTTCTGCTGAGACAAGGTGCTTTTCCATGTGCTCTGCCTTCTTGCCTATGCATTTTCCTGACATGAGCAGGGTCTGGTGAGATTATATTATTTTTCTCCTCAGCATGATAGCAGGAATCGATGGGAGAGGTGTTTAGAGCTTCACTGCCTGAGCTCTCTGTGCTCAGCCTGAAAAAGCACATCTCCAGCAGGAAAAGAGCATCTTAAACAAACAGGATCCCAAGGTTTAAGAAGCCTAGCAGGTTTATGGCAATGCATCTTGAAGAAAGAAATAGAAGCAGAATAAATATATATTCCATTACAGGTGTTTGTTATAAACTTGGTATGGTGCTGAGAACCTTCAGTGTATACAATTCATGGTTACAAAATTCCTAAGCCTCCTCTTCTTGTAGCATTCCTTCCTACCCCATCAGACAGGCATAACCCCTGCGAGTGGCAGCAAACTGCTACCCCAACTCTTCTGGGTTTGATCCCAGTCCTAAAGAGCCATAAAGTAGGATATGGGAAATATCAGGTCCTTTTTAAAGTAGATAATTTAAAATGTGTGGGGTTTTGTCTACAGCCATCAACAGTTTAAGAACCCTTAATTTTTCTTCTCCTGGGCTATTGCAGATGTATATGCAGCACTAATTCCCCAAGGCTGGAGGGTTTTTGTGTTTTTTCATTTTCAGTCCTGGTGCATTTTGTTCACTGCTCTTCAGTCTGTTTATTGATTCTCAGCCTTTTTCATGACTCTAAGTGCCTTTTCTTTGTACTCCTCCCCTTCCTCCCTCCCCCCAAAACATACCAGCCTGCATTCACTTAGGCTGAATCTCAATTTATTTACTGCCTTTTTAGAAGCATTTTTTTTTTCCTAAGCCTTGCTGAAAGAGATCTGTCCATTAAGGTTCTTTTCCCACTGCAGAGAAGGCTTTGTCCTGTTTTCTCATGGTGTTTGTGGCTGATATGAAACTGTTGAAGACAAAATGTACTTTTGAATCAGGCTGAAACAAATGACAGCTGTGTGCAGGCAGATGGAGAAAGGGTCCCAGGGTACTTCTCAACTGCGGGACAGGGCATATCACTTTAGCAAATTGTTGCTAGCATCTGTTTTTGCATGGGGCAGTTCTCTAGCCCCAGATAATCCCCTCTGAGTGCCAGGACTGGCTGTGCTGTTTGGCTGCTGATCTGACACTTCCAGCAACTGAATAACTGCTACAAAGCAGCTATTCCAGAAGCAACATTGCTGCAAGATGAGTGAGTTTATTTAAGCTTTCTACATTATTGTCAAAAAACTAAGGGACTAATGCATGAAATTTGCTCTGTGTTGATGTTCATGATAAAGAGTAAGAGAAGCCTTTGCCAATATTTTACTCTCTTATCAAGAAAAATCAATAAAAGTGCTTCCTGATAAATAGCATGTTTGACATGCGGCCTGTCTGTCAGGGCATTGGAAAGGCTGATAAATACCCAGTATCCTTACTACACTGCTTCCCTGAAAACAAACAGCCTGGGGGAGAGAAGGGGCTGTGCAGCTCTGCAGTGCACTGTGTCTGTGCTCAGCTTCCACTGAGATGCTGCAAGTCTGGATGCTCCAATCCTGCTCCTCCCCTGTTCCCTCTCCCTTCCCACTCTCCAGATCCGCCAAGGGAGCTGCTCAGCCCCAACTCAACCTGAACTGACCCACCAAGGGCTTTTCTGGAGGCTAGTGCAGGCTCTTAGAGCAGGACTAATAAATTATCATTTATTCATGACTAATTGTGCTTTCAAGACCAGGTAACACTGTTCACCAGCCTCCTTCTACCCCCTCCTCAT